TAGAAGTACTGGTCATATCTAGTTGCTTTGCAAAGTGACACAAAAAGTAGTAGACGGTGCATCTCTCAGTGGGCACCCATGCATTCTGATTGAGCAAATCCCAAGGTAACTGTTTAATGCCTTGGCTCTTGTTCTATCCCAAGTGGTGCTGAAAAAATGGCTAATTGCAGTGAAGTACAAGGGAAAGAGCACCGGTTCTGAAGTCAGAGGGCCTGGATTCAAATTCTGTCGCTGAGACCCACTGATGCTGTGACTTTGGGCAAGTCTCCTAATTTTCCTGTGCCTCCGCTTCTTCCTCTGTAATTGAGATTAGACTAGATGATCTCTGAAATCTATTCCACCCTTAGTTCTTTTATCCTATGATCCATCCTGCAAATATTTTAAGAGCGAATATTTAAAGAGAGTTTTGAGAAAGAGTCACACACAGTGGCTTCTAATTTAGAAAATAAGGGTTTTATTTCTAGGACAGTTGTTAACCAGATGTAGAAACATGAACAAGCTATTCCTAACCCCTCAGTTTCCACATTTGGAAAAATACTGTATCAACTATATAGCTTTCTAGAGTATAATTGAAAAGAAGTAATGTCTGAAACATAATTACAAATCTTGATTCAATAGAACTTGCATATGGGAAATATTATTTGGAAAGTATAACTAATTAATTTACTTCAATAACAGAAAAATTTATTACATTTTTCTTTCTGTAGTTTTTAAAGGGTTCTCAAGGTCAGCGCCTAATAGATTCCTTCACTTAGAGAGACCTAGAAGTCTGTGCAGTTAATTGCAATCTCCTTGGCATCTACCTTACTTTTATAAGAATCTAAAGGCCAGCCCTATGAAATCATTAATTTAGCTAATGATTCTGAAGATCTCCCGTCCAGCCAATAAGGGCACAAAGTGACACTGAAGTAATACACTTTCCTACAGAGGAGAAGGAATATTTCTCCAGAGACTGAAGAAACTTGGTGCTTAATAGGAAGACCAAAAACATTAATTAAGCCTTATTTCACTAATTAATACAATAAATGCACCCCAAAAATCCATTGCTAGTAAATAAATCAAGGCTGTTTCCAAAGGAGACCCTTTAAAGACAACAGTAATGCCCAGGGGATTCTTTATAAAAAAGTGATTTACATCATCCGTAAGCATTTAGTGCATCTATTTAAAGAAAAGCCTATTCAGAGCAATTTTACCAAGTCTCTGAGCAATTCTAAGGGCCCTAGAGAATCAAATGGGCACAAATTTAGAAAGCCTGGTGACCACACAATGCAGTTGGGAAAACACACATGAAAGCAATTGTGGCATCAGAAACTCATCTCCTGTCCTATAACTGAAGGATTGTTTTAGATTTTAGGCCTATAGTCTTTCTGCCTAGATGAACCAGAGCCAAATTATGGGTTAAATCCAAACTGGTGAGAAGAAGAAACACTGCTGATAGCTGTATTCAGGTTTTGTTGTTGCTGCTTCCGCCAAAAAGAAACAAAGAAATAGGCATGCTTTATTAAGGCATCTTGTTGGGCAACCTAGATTTATGAAAAGAAACACAATCACACTAATGCATCATTGATGGAACTATGAATTAGTCCATCCATTCTGGAATGAATTCTAGAACTATGCCCAGGAAGTTAGTAAACTGTGTATACCCTTTGACCCAAAGATAGCTCAAGTAGGCCTATACCCCAAAGAAATCAAAGAAAGAGGGAAAATATTGCAGTTCTTTTGGTAGTGGCAAAATACTGGCAAAGAAGGTGCCCACCATTTTGTAGACTGAGCAAATTATGTTATAGAAATGTAATAGAATTCTGTTGTCCCATAAGAAATGGTAAAAAAGGGGGGCAGCTAGGTAGCACAGTGGATAGGGCACCTGCCCTGTAGTCAGGAGGACCTGAGTTCAAATTCGGCCTCAGACCAAATACTTGACACTTACTAGCTGTGTGACCCTGGGCAAGTCACTTAAACCCAATTGCCTAAAACAAAACAAAACAAAAAAGAAATGGTAAAAAAGGATGGTTTCAGAAAAACCTAGAAAGACTTGTATGAACTGATACAGACTGAGGTCAACAAAGCTAGGAAAAGACATTATATAATAACATCAGCATTGTAAAGACAAACAACTTAGAAAGACTTCAGAACTCTGTTCAATGCAGTGAATGACCATGATTCCAGAAGGCCAACAATGAACCATGCTACTTATCTCCTGACAGAGATGTAGTGGACTCAAGGTACAGAACATTTTGGGGCATGGTCAATGTGTTTTTGCTTGACTACACACAATTGTTACAAGAGAGTTCTTATTCCTTTAGTGGAGAGGAGAGAGGTAGGAGGGGGTAGAAAATAAATGTTTGTCAATTGAAAAATAAGATAATTTTTCTTTTTTGAAAATACAGAATCTGTCACATGTAGTGAGCAGTATTTGGGTCTATCCATGATCACATTATCTAATAAGCTAGAGGTTATTTAGTGAATGGCCCTAAAAGTAAATGTGACCAAATATAAAAAG